GTGACCCGGTGATGCCATGGTGATGTTCATCAAACCTGTTGTGTTACGATTGGTTGTTTCGCAGGGAAGTGTCTATTAAAATGGGAACTGTACATGGTCAGTAGCACACTGAGGAAGGCAGCACGCTGACATGCGTCTGTGTTGTGTACAGACTTCCAATAAAACTGTGTTGAAGCAAAATGTGACCTCTCTTTGTTTACTTCCCTGAAGCTCTCCTTCAGCTCCCACCACCAGAACTGCAGACTTAAGGCATGGCCTGGACCCACACCTGAACCTGACTCTGAGCCTGTCCATGTCATGGCTACAGCCTGTGACTCAGAAAGCACTGCCCTGTTCCTGCTCCAGGCTCCTAGCACAGCGAGAGCAGTTAGCTGCCTGTCCTCCTGCTGGCTCTCCCCAGCTAGCCACCATCTGCCCACTGGCTCCTTGTAGCTAGCAATCAGCTCCCCCAAGGCTCCCCGCAGTTGGCTGCCCCTGGCACCATATGCACAGTATCTGGCCCGGGAAGCCTGTTATTACATCTGCACTTAAGGCTCCTGGCCCAGAGAGGGCCGCTCAGCCCGCACCCTCAGCGTCCAACACAGGTGAGGCCTTGCTTGCCTCCAGGATTCTCATTGAATCTGGTACGGTTCCCTGATATCTAGCCGGCACCTGCCACACTGCTCCCTGATGTCCGGCCGGCACCCATCTCGTCTCCTGCCTGCTGGTGCCTGCTTTGTATCCTGATGTCCCACCGGCGCCTGCCTACAAGCCGCTGCCAGCCCTGTGCCCAACTTCCAGGCTGCCACCAGCCCAGAGAGGATGGACCCAGAGGATGTCCTGCTGGAGGACTTAGAGTGGGACCCTCTGGACTTGCCCTGGGTCCAGCTATGTGGGCCCCAGCCTCCATCCCAGACACGGGCTGCTCTGGTCCCAGTGTCTGGGGTGGTCATTGGTATCAGTAGGGGTCCAAGAATGGGGCAGGATGAATCTCTGTCTCCCAGAGAGGGGGTGCCAGTCTCTGCTCTTGCCCTGTAGGTCCCTTGCCATCCTCCTCTTCCCGTCCTGTGGTCACCTTGCTGCCCGACTGCTCTGCAGCTCCCTCAGCGCCCCCCAACTCTGCTAACCCCTCACGTCACTTCTGTATTATTCTCTCTAATTGTTGAACAGAGCTTGACTTGATACCGGCTAAATCATTTCCATAAACTTGGACAGAATAAACACCACTTGGACACTGGATGCGGTGAGGACACTCAATCTCTTGTTTATTGGTCTATTTGCAGCTTAAATAGGAAATCACATGGCATGGTCACATGACAAACACACCTGAGAGTAATTCACAATAATTGGGAGCACACCCATTAGCCAATCAATCAATTAAAACTAATGATGTTTTATTGCATCACAACACATCCATCTAAAGTGCTTTGGGACGACTCTGCTGTGAAAGGCGCTATATAAAAATAAATTAACTGAATTGAATGTCCTGCCTCCTCCCTGGCTTGGCTCTAACAAGCCATGTTTGGTGCTTGTTGGTCTCACGTCTCGTTCCAGCCCTCATGTTAAACACTCCCAGCTGCCTCCAGTCTGTTCCCTCGTTAGTCCTGTATTTAAGTGCTTCCTGGTCCTGTATTTCCCAATTTGATCATTGATCTAGTGCCTCATGTGTTGCCTGTTCTCTAGCCTGACATCCTGATCCCAATAAGTCCCTGTTAGTTGCCTGACACCTGCTCCACGATTCTTTCATCCCGGTGACACGACACCGACCGCCAGTGACATCTCTGTGGACTCAGAAATATCAGCCTAGCTGCACTAGTGCCTAAGCAGCACCTTGACAGCGGCGTGTTTGCAGTGTCATGTTTGCCTCACTTGTTCACCACTTTCAGCAACAGTATCTGATGAATACTGGAAATGTAAATGTAATGATATAAGAACATAAGAACATAAGAACTATACAAAC